AAAATAGTTTCCTCATTGCCTGGCATTTCCTTCGAAACATCGACAGCTGTTCTATTTAATATCCTCGCAAGCAACAACCGATAACAATCTAAATTTTTGTTACTCCTCTAGATTTAGTGTCATTTACGCCTTCTTGTTATTCGTTCGTTCATATATACATAAATTTTCTTTTTATTGTGTCCTTAATGAACAGGACAAACAACTTCGTTTTTGGAAGTTTCTAAGGGTTCTGCTTTAGTTCCACTTCACCTCCCCGGTAAAGTAACAATTTACTATTGTTTGGTAGTAAGAAAATGTCTTAGGTTATTTACCCTCACATACAAGACATTCATAAGGATAAGTGAAAGGGGAGTAGGATGGGAGGAGGAATGGGGTAATCCATTGTTTGTTTGTTTTGAAGTACTTGAGATTCCTTGTATTTTTCCTTTCTCCAGACATATATGGCCTCTCTTTCGTAGAGTATGCGTATTTGTGTGTGTGATAATGGCAGTGCCATTTACAGTTAATGTTTCCCGTACCCTAACATCAATAAACAATAAAAATAAGTGGGGAAATAAGAAAAACCAACAACAACACCAACAAAGAAGAAGAACAGCAACAACAATATCGACAATAGCAAATATGGCAGTAAGACATTTTCATAAAGCGGAAGTGCGTGTTTGAAATCTTAAAGATAAACAATGGGCACGTACACATATACACACATACTTTAGTTGATGGGTTTTGTGGGAGCCACACACATACACACAGGACCGTTTCATTGTTCCTAATGTAATGACATCTCGTTTATAAGAATGTTGAATGAGGGTATATATAAATGTGTGTATTTATATTTTATGAAATTATTATTGTTATATTTGTATTTGGAGTCCAAGTAGGATATCGAAAATAATCGCAAAGCAACAGGGACATTTAAAGACCTTGAAGATAATTATGGTGCAGACGATAATTTGTTATCACAAAAATACCAACAAAAACATCAATTTGGCGTTTGGTGATTTTTTCAAGGCGTGGATTTTTAAAAATATTTTTTTCAAGACGTGGATTCTTAAAGTATTTCTTCAAGGCCTGGTTTTTTTGAAACTATTTTTTAAGACGTGGATTTTTCAACATATTTTTTCAAGGAGTGGATTTTTCAAAGTATTTTTTCAAGACGTGGATTTTTCAAGGCGTGGTTTTTACGTGGATTTTAGAAGATTTTCTTCAAGGCGTGGTTTTTTAAAAATATTTTTTCAAGGCGTGGTTTTCTTAAAAATATTTTTTCAAGGCCTGGTTTTCTTAAAAATATTTTTTCAAGACGTGGATTTTTTAAAAATATTTTTTCATGGCGTGGATTTTTTAAAAATATTTTTTCAAGGCGTGGATTTTTAAAAAAATATTTTTTCAAGGCGTGGATATTTTAAAAATATTTTTTCAAGACGTGGTTTTCTTAAAAATATTTTTTCAATGCGGATTTTTGAAATATTTTTCAAGGCGGATTTTTGAAATATTTTTTCAAGGCGGATTTTTGAAATATTTTTTTCAAGGCGGATTTTTGAAATATCTTTTCAAGGCGGATTTTTGAAAAATTTTTGAAAATATTTTTTTTGAAGGCGTGGCTTTTTTTAAATATTTTTTCAAGGCGGATTTTTGAAATTTTTTTGAAAATATTTTTTCAAGGCGTGGCTTTTTTTAAATATTTTTTCAAGGCGGATTTTTGAAATATTTTTGAAAATATTTTTTCAAGGCGTGGCTTTTTTTAAATATTTTTTCAAGGCGTAGTTTTCTTAGAAATATTTTGTCAAGGCGTAGTTTTCTTAGAAATATTTTTTCAAGGCGTGGATTGTTGAAAATATTTTTTCCAGGCGTATATTTTAAAAAGTATTTTTTCAGAGGCCTATATAAGAAGTGGATTTTCAAAAATATTGTTTTCAGTATGTCAAAGTGTCAAAGTCAAAGTGTTTAAATAACTTATACGCCACATAGGTCATAGAATTTATATAATTTATACGCCATATAGGTCACCGAATTTAAATAACTAATACGCCACATATGTCAAAGTATTTAAATTACTTATACGCCACCATATGAAGAATAAGATAATGTCGAAAAAATTAGAGATTTAAAACGATTTTGGAAGTCATTTTTTTAAGGTAGAAAAGATTTTTATACCTTTCACCACACTATGGTACAGGGTATTATGTCTTTGTGCATATGTTGTAACAGGCAAAAGGAAACGAGATAGAAGAATCACTTTCTTCTGTCCCTCCGTCCGTCCATGTATTTTTGTGAACAAAGTACAGGTCGCATTTATAATCCGATTTGGATGAAATTTGGCACATGTGACTTATTTGGCTCAAGGACGAACCCTATTGAAATTTGAGTAAATCGGTTCAGATTTAGGTATAGCTTCCATATATAGTTTAGTCCGATTTCAGGTAAATGGGATACCAAAGTCCCAATATATCGTTCGATTTGCATGAAATTTGGTATAGGGTTAAGAAATAGGTTTATAATGATGTGTGCTACGTTTGGTGAAAATCGGTTCAGATTTAGATATTGCTCCCATATATATGTTCGTACGATTTAAGGTAAATGGTGCACCAAAGTCCCTACATATCTTTCGATTTCCACGAAATTTGGAAGAGCGTAATGAACTAAGCCTGGAATGAAGTGTGCTAAGTTTCATGAATATCGGATCAGATTTAGATATAGCTCCCATATATATTTTTGTCCGATTTAAGGTAAATGGTGTACGAAAGTCCCCCTATATCTTCCGATTTGCACGAAATTTGATATAGAGTACTGAATTAGGTATAGAATGATGTGTATTAAGTTTCCTGGAAATCGGTTCAGATTTATATATAGCTCCCATATATATTTTCGTCCGATTTAAGGTAAATGGTGCACCACAGTCCCTATATATCTTTCGACTTGCACGAAATTTGGCACAGCGTAATGAATTAGGTCTAGAATAATATGTGTTAAGTTTCGTAAAAATCGGTTCAGATTTAGATATAGCTCCCATATATATTTTCGTCCGATTTAAGGTAAATGGTGCACCACAGTCCCTATATATCTTTCAGTTTGCACGAAATTTGGCACAGCGTAATGAATTAGGTCTAGAATACTATGTGTTAAGTTTCGTAAAAATCGGTTCAGATTTATATATAGCTCTCATATATAATTTCGTCCGATTTTATGCAATATTTTTCCGATTGAGACAAAATTTTGCACAGAGTACTGAATTAGGTCTAGATTGATGCATGCCAAGTTTTGTTGAAATCGGTTCATATTTAGATTAAGATCCTATATATAGCTTCGTCCGATTTCATTTACATGGTGCACCAAGCTCCCAATATTTGCCCGATTGTGACAAAATATTGCACAGAGTACTGAATTAGGTCTAGATTGATGTATGCCAAGTTCCTATTTAGATATAGATCCTATATATAGCTTCGATCGATTTTGTTTAAATGGTGCACCAAACTCCCATTATTGGTCCGATTTAGACAAGTTTTGCACAGAGTACTGAATTAGGTCTAGATGGATGCATGCCAAGTTTTGTTAAAATCGGTTCATATTTAGATATAGCTCCCATATATAGTTTCGTCCGATTTTCTGCACAGAGTACTGAATTAGGTCCAGACTGATGTCTGCGTCCGATTTTGTATAAGTGATACACCAAACGTTCAATATTTGTCCGATTTGGACAAAATTCTGCACAGAGTACTGAATTAGGTCCAGACTGATGTATGCGAAGTTTTGCTAAAATTAGTTCATTTCATACAAATGGTAGACCATTGGATTCTCTGATTTCAGAATGCTATGTGTGTGGGTTTTTTCAATTGTTTCAAATATCTATCTAGATAGCATATTTAATTTCGCCCGATTCCATCTCAATGGACCTCCAAAGATTCTATATCTGTTGTATCTACAGGATATGTTATATATTAACATCTCTTGTATGTACTCAAAGTGGTGAAGGGTATGATATAATCGGCCCGTCCGACTTTTGATCTTTCCTTACTGGTTTTATATATTTTTTTCTTGGTCTATTATAGACCTGACTTTTTAATATTTTCAGGCACTATTTTATGTGGGGATTTTTAATATTTTTTCAGAGACTTTGTATTAAAGTCGTCTATGTAAATCAGTTTTTTTCTTGCTCTAATTAAAGGGAAGTCCACTATGTATGCTCTTTTGTCCTTCGTTTCTTATCTTGCCCTTTGATTGCCTGATTGAAAGTAAAGCCTCCCATTGGAAATTCCACAAAGCTAATATTTTACAATGCAAATAGTTGCAAAGGTTTCAGTCAACAGAGCAACCATGCAAAGAAAAAACCAAACAAGGGAGATGGATTCCCTGCCACAACAAATTTGTTGGATATTTTTCCCTCCCAGCAGTAAATTTTTTATTACAAGTTCCAAAGCCGAACAGAAGTAAAAAAAAGACAGACAGCAATTATTTCCCCAACGGTGGCAGTGCTGCAATTTCATTCCCTCCCGCCTGAAAACAGAAACATAGCAAAAAAAATATTGTTTGCTTACCTGTTTGCCAAAGGTGGGCGACAGCGAGGGTGGTGGCGGCGATGCCGCATTCATTCTCGACGTTGGCGTATAAATAATACGCTGCGATTCTAGATTCAAGCGATCGAATGCCTTCTCCTCCAAATGGAATTCATCTTCACTATTCGTTTCCTGTGGTATCACATCGGGATTTTTATCCTCCAAACTAGAATGACTGCCCATATTGCGTGACAATGGCTCGGCGCTGCCTTTGTCAGCTTCCGTTGTTGTTGTATCGCCGCTGGGGCCACGACGATTGTGCTTTGTGCGAAATTTCATAAAAATCACAATACAAATGGCAACGAGAATAAGTGTTGCTATGACACCAACTAGGGCACCCAGTAATGGGGTTAGTTGGACCAGAACTGCAGTTGAGGATGCTATTTGTTCGATGTTCGACAAAACGACAAAGCGCAGATATGTAGAGGTGGGGTTTTTACGTTTTGTGATGTCATTGTTTATGCAGTAAAAGTTTGGTGTGGAGGAAAAAAAATCCATGCAGAGGTAAATTTTTTGTTGTTGATGGAAAGTAGAAAAAAGAAAATATTGTAAGAAAACAGGAAAAGTTAATTTTACATGACAATAGATTTTTAAATTATATAAAAAATACGAAAAATTATAATTAAAATAATTTCTTAATGGTTCAATGTGTCGTATAACTGTTGCTAAAGAAAATATTAGGTATACGCCCAGGTGAACTGGAATTAATAACAATCATACGCATCCCTTCAAAAATTATCGTAAAACGATTTCAAATTGGAACAAATTTTGGCAAATATAAAAATTTCTTATTGGGTCAGGGTGCCATATGATTGATGCTAGACAATATATTTCTCATACGCTTAGGAATTATTTTTGAATAAATAACAAGTGAAAAAGCGTTAAGTTCGGCCGGGACGAACTTTGGATACCCTCCACCATAGATATACTGACAGGTACTAGAAATGAAAATATAGGGAACATACCAAAAAGTGAACCTATACCGACATGTCTAAAAACGGATTATGTAAACCATAATGTAAGCCATAATACAAATTTCAGAAATTTTTAATTGATAATTCAAATTCGAAGATGGGGAATATCGGTCCACTCCTTCTGAAACCTCCACACTGGCTATAAATGCGGCTATAGTTCATTATCGAACCTTACGTTCTAATTTTTTTATCTCGCTATCCTCCGCAGGTGAAATGATTTCAATAGAGTCTTAGAACCAAACTCAAAACGCGGAACCAATCAGATAACTATTTTAATATAAAAAAGGGGGTTATATGGGGACTACCCCAAAAAGGGGGCGAATATTAAAAAATTTTGGTAGAGAGATTTGTTACCATATACGACTACAAAATACCAAATTGCAGCAAATTCGGTTGAACAACGCGCTCAAGAACCCCAAAATACCGAAAATTGGGGGTACCCTTATATGGAGGCTATCCGAAAAAATTGACCTATATTCATAATTTTTTGTGGAGAGATTTGGTACCTATTAAGAACTCAAAATACTAAATTACAGCTAATTTGGGGGAAAAAAACGATCAAAACCCCCAAAATACTGAAAATTGGGAGGTACCGTTATATGGGGGCTACCAGAAAAACTGGACCTATACTTATAATTTTTTGTGGAGACATTTAGGACCCAACAAGAACTCAATGTAGCACATTTCAGCGAATTCGGCTGAAAAACGCGCTCAAGAACCCCAAAATACCGAAAATTGGCGGGTACCCTTATATTGGAGCTATGCCTAAACGTGGACCGATATATCCCATCTTCGAACTTGACCTGCCTGCAGACAAAAGACAACCATATGCAAAATTTCAGCACCCTATCTCAATTCCTTCAGAAGATAGCGTGATTACAGCAGATGGACGGACAGACGGACGGATGAACATGGCTAGATCGTCTTAGAATTTCACCCTGATCAAGAATATATATACTTTATAGGGTCGGAAATGAATATTTCGATGAGTTACAAACGGAATGACAAAATTAATATACCCTCCATACTATGGTGGAGGGTATAAAAATCATACGCACCCTTCCATCAAACAACAAAAACAATCTAAGATCCCACAAGATTGCTTGCAGAAATTATGATTTTTTAAAAGGGTCACGGTGACGTATAATTGTCGTTCTGCAAATTATTTCTCATACGCCCTGGGGATCTATTAAATTAATAACAATTATACGCACCCCTTTACAGAACATAAGAAATTCAATTTAAATTCCTCTAAATTTACTCGACAACTTACCTGTTCTCAGTAGCGGTGCCGACAGTGTTCTCCCTCTGATACGATAGGACACCTTACTTGGTCCCTGGGCATTTATGGCCGTAATCCTTAGAACAAATACCGAATCGCTAGGCAAACGTTTCACCGTAAATTCTGGATTACGAAAAGACGTATTATAGAGAATCTGACGATTCAACTCATCATAGACCTGAACATGGAAATGTTGTGGTATGCCACCATCATAGCCGGGTATACACTGAATCTGCATGGAATTGGCAGTGAAATTGTAGGCTGAACAATTTTTCACCGGATCGGGGAGATCTGAAATAGAGAAGAAGAATTTTTAATTGAGTTATAAATTCGAAAATAAAATGTTGAACTTTATTAATTAAAATTATATGTAATTAAAATAATTTAATTTCTATAATTAACACATAATAAGCAATTATACAATTATTACCTTGGGCCCAGGGCCCATACATATAAGTGTTTAAGTATGTGCTAGAAAATATCAACTACTCTCCCCCCTTTATTTCAATTTCGCATACATCTTCCTTCCTTCATAAAAAATATCCTATAGTTTCTCGAATGCCTGAGGAGGACTTGAGTTCATGTATGTGTGTAGACATGGCGCCATTGGTGTAGAAAATTGAAAGAAACTCTGCCACTCTACACAAACCACTTGTATATTAATGTTAAAGCCATGAACTCATGCCAGTTTTGTACATACACAACATATTGGCTTTATATTTCCAGCCAAGAGCAACCTTTAACATTACACCCTACCTCCCACCATCCCTCCCAATCTACCACTCCTCTCCACTTCACACACTAACTGATTATAAATGAGTTGCCATATATGAATGTAGAAACACTTATAGTTTTTTTCCTCTCCATTCCTATAGTTTTAGTTTGGTAAGGCGGCTCACATTTATACATTTCAACACTTAACTTTTTTCTGTGCTAAGTTTTGCATGTGTGTACACGAGAGTGTGTGGGTATATGCGTCAACTAGCATGCATGCAATTCAATTTCAGAATATAACACTTTATGCTTTTGTAGGCAAAAGAATATTAAGTGTCTCTACACACTCGGAGGGAAAGTATGTGTTCATTATACAGAATTGAACGAAAAAAATCTGAAGGAGGAAAACAATCACGGAAACAAACCCATATATTTCTAGGCAGACATCATAGTTTGTATGTGTGTGTAACTCATATTTTCTATAAACAAAAAAAAATACTTTTCAAGAGGTTCATTAAGGAATATTAATTAAATACGAAAGCTTTACTGGTTGGAGGTAGTTTTTTTATATTTTTGTGGAAATTTTTTATTGAGGAGATAGAGGAAAATATATCTCATGGACCACATGACGTATTAGTATTATTAATTGATAATGAAAAAGGGGGCGTATAATTATTATTAACAAGTATACGCAATAGAGTACCATCAACAGATCCAATACAATATTCAAGGGAAATGGATTCATAAAGATATATCGATTTTCAATGCTTTAAAAAAACTCAGGAATGAGATTGGCCTGGTATTTTGAAAATATTTTCTTGAACCTATTATAAGCCTTATTTTTTTAAAACCATTTTATCAAAGTCTATACAAAATCAGTTCTATTTGAAAATATTTCTTTCGGAGATTGTGTTAAAACAATATTTTTTTCGCGGATATTAGGGTGGAGTTAGTTTTTTGTGTTCAACAACTAAAGAACGGACAATGTGTCGTATTAGTTTTATTAATTCGTAATGGGAAGGGGGTCGAATACTTTATATTAACATTTATACGCAACGGAGTACCATGAACAGGTACAGAAATATTTATTTTTCGATTTCTTACAATATTAATAGACTCCTATAAGAGCCAAAATTTGACAAGTCTGAAAAAAATGGTTAGACTCTATAGAAGATGTTTGTCTGGTACTTTACAGGGCGTATAGCAGGACTGGATGTTTTTATACCCTACACAACTATGTTGTCAGGGTATTATAGTCTTGTGCAGCCCAAAAGATTTTGTAACGCCGCGAAATATTCGTCCTAGACCCATCGGTATACTGATCGTCATATCCCGACTAGCTGGGTCGATATAGACATGTGTGTCCGTCCGTCCGTCTGTCAATTATAATTTGTAAACACGATACAGGCCACAATTATGGACCAATAATCACGAAATTTTGCATGTAGGATGAGTTGTGCCCAATGAAGACCCCTATTGTTTTTGATAAAGTTCGAATAATATTTAGGGGATGAAATGGACCAAGTACTTAAGTTTTGTCGGTTCGAAGTTTGACATGGAGAAGAAGATCGGGCCAAAGAATAAGCATGCCTGTTTTGATAAAAATTGGTATTTACCTAAAATCGGGTGAAGCTATATATGGGAGCTATATCTAAATCTAAACCGATTTTCACGAAACTTTGCACACATCATTCTAGACCTTATTCATTACGGTGTGCCAAATTTCGTGCAAATCGAAAGGTATATAGGGACTATGGTGCACCATTTACCTTAAATCGGACGAAAATATATATGGGAGCTATATCTAAATCTGGACCGATTTTTCCCAATTTCAATAGGGTTCGTCCTTGGGCCAAACAAGTGAGCTGACAAGTTCGCCTCCAAAGAATGTATAGATTTCTTACTTTAAGACAGATAGAACTAACGTATGATGAGCAGTATGACTACCACCAGCACGTATACGCTCCAAATAATATAAATTTTCTCCATCACAATTAAACTGGTAAGTACTGAGACCAAATACCGAAATTCTTTAAAATATCAGAAAATGGATACAACTAATCTTTAACCGAAACATTTTCTAAGTTTTTTTTTTTCCTTTTGAAATCATAACGAAAACCTATAAAGCCCATATTTTAAATCCAATACAAAATCAATATGTGGCGTATGATTGTCAACAACACTTATACGACCTAAGGGACATTACCTGGCATTTATAAATAGACCGTAAAAAAAACTCAAAACCAAATTTACAATAATTTCAGATTTTTTTTTTTGGAAAATTCTCATCCTTAATTTGAGCTCATTATATGGCGTATGATTAACACCAACACGTATACCCTCTAATGGATATCTATAGTCTTTATCCAAATTAAAACGAAAATTATAAAGATCAAATTTCCAATAACAAAATATTTTTCTCCAACGCCTATTCCTTAGGACCAAAAATAATTTTAAAATACAATTTTTCTGCGAATTTTTTTCTTCTAAGATTCTTTTTCAATAATCCATGGAGTCTTGGGATGCGTATGATTGCCGTCACTTGTCATACGCCCTAATGTATTATCACAATTAAACCGGAAACAATTCAAAACCATCAAAACCCATAACAGAAAATAATTCCGTGCGTGTTTTGTGCGTTTTACTGAAAATTTGTGTCCTTAATATCCATTAAATCAAATATTCGAACCAAAAATCGGATACCTAACAACATTGGCCTCAATTAAATCTCTGACAATAATTAGCGAAATGTATACGTATAGCAATTAAGCTGGAAGTGGAAATGGACAAACCACTATCAGGCAGGGAAAAAATCAATATTTTCCATTAAAACCACAAAATAAAAATGGCCGAGAGAGAGAGAAGAGTGGATATGGGCAAACATTTTACTTTGGCAAAGAAATGAAATTTTTGTTTGATACAACCCACTCAATATTATATATATATTAACCATCATTATAAACATGACACATACAGACAGTCAGCTTGCAATTTTCAAACATAAAATTTTATATAGCCATCTGCCCTGATACACCAACATATTCACGCACTTGTTTTTCCTTTGTAAATCAATTCCCAACCCCCCAAAATCCCTCTGTTTCCCCCTCATTCCGATATTTCTCACTTACCTGCCGGCTGTATATGATACCAACATGGCTGCGACTGACCCATTGGACTACTGGCCACACACGAAATTGCTCCAAAACTTTCATACGACTCAATGTGATAGCTATAGACATTATTCAGGGGCACTGGGGCGGCGGTGGTTGTTGTGGTGGCCGCTGCAGCCATGGCAAGGTTGCGATGATGTTGCTGTTTGTGTAGGGCAGCCAAACGTTTGCGCTCAGCCATTTGCAAATACTGTTGGCTGTGCACAGCCGCCGATTCATGCAAAGGCTGTGTGCGCATCGGCTGTTGATGATGCAGCAGGGTTTGATATTGTGTGGGCTGTCCTCCTAATGCCGATGCGGATCCCAACGAATGTTGCTGTTTGCCATCCAAGTGATTTTTATAAATCATATTGGAATAAACCATTTGTGTGTAAGGTAAATCCTCGCTATTAGTACTGCGACCATAAACTCCATTAATGGCATCATCAGTTTCAGTGCCCTCGTCATCATCATCATCGTGCACGGCCAGACCATTATCGTTGTGATAGTGTGGCCGATGGCGATGTGATGGCTTTCGTTGCTCCAAATAGTCACCACCAGTCACAACAACATCGTCATCATTATCATCTTCAAAACGGACATTTGACCAGGCATCCATATGTGTGATGGCGGGTTCATGTTGCTGTTGATGGACAACTGTACGCATTGCCATGCGTCCATGACGACCATGGGTGGCCACCAGTTTAGCCTCATGCTGTTGGCCATGTAGGTGTTTCCTTTTGCTACGTTGAAAATATCCGGCGGAAGCGTGACTTGCATCCCCATGTAATAACATTTGTTGCTGTGGCGAATGATGGCCGGCGAGGCCCATCGCAACGCCTCCACCCAACGAGTTGGGTAGCTCGATGAGACTCTCCAGTGAATTGTTGAAGTGCCATTTGTAATTTAGATTAGCAAGAGGATTCGCATCCACTTGGCATGTTATATTAATGGTCTGTTTAAGGGCTGCTCGTATTATTGTTGATTCGGCTTTGCAGACAGGTGGATCTGTAGCGTGGAAAAGTGGGATGAGAAAAAGTAATTAGAATTCATATTTCAAAGCAAGTATTTGTATAGTAAGGGAGGATTAATGTCCCCAGGAATGGGGTCATCATCGTAGCAAAATATTTCATAATATCATGTCAAGTTAATGTTCAACTTCAAATTGTGACAGTAATGCTAACAGGGAAGTGGAGAAGGGATAGGGCCAGCTAACAGCAAAATGGCAGGATGGGTCATGGAATATAATTAGTAAGGGATTATAGGAAATAAAAAGACACATAGAAGGGATAGAGGATGGAGAATTCAGAAAGTAAATTCGAATACCATATGTGCCTGCAAGAAAAATATTGTTATGGACAATTTTACTATCGAAAAATTTTTAGAAATAGTTTCAAGAAAAATTATAATAAATAATATATAAGCTAATTAGACCAATATGGCTTTCCTATAGGGCGTATGAGTACCATCACCACTTATACGCTTCAATGAATAACAATTCGCTATTCGAAGTAATCCTGAAGGGGCAAATCTTCTCAAAAATTATACTTAAAAATTCAGGAAATTATCTGTATTCAAATATATATATATGTATTTTAAAATTAGAAATACGTTGAGAGATTTTTCTCTTCGACAATTGATTCCCAAGAATCCCAGTTTCTTGCATTATTTGAACCTATAAGGCGTATGACTATCACCAATACTTATACGCTCCAAAGAATATCAGTTTTCTATGTCCCATTAAAACGAGAAAAGAAATTCCCAAAAAAAAATGTGTCTCTGCCCACGATTCACCATCTATTGAAATTAATTATTTTCTGAAGTCTGGATCCTTTATCATTTCAAACATTCGATTAGAAAGAAATTCGGAAAATGTTGTCTATGACAAGTTCGTCGCAAAAGACATATTGAAACGAGCTATGGAACGTATAAATACCACCAGCACGTATACGCTCCAAATAATATAGACTTTCTCTATCACAAAATGCCAGGATGGGCCATGGAATATAATTAGTAAGGGATTAGGGGGAATAAAAAGAAACAAGGAAGGGGAATAGGTAAGGCTCTTAAATAATCAACAAAAGAACCCTATGTCCCTTCAAGGAAACATTTGTTATTGGCAATTTTAATATCGAAAAATAAATTGTTAGGTTGTTCTTAAATGTAAAATAAATAATATATGAGCTTATTAGGTGTCGTATGAGTACTAACAATACGTATACGACCTAATGGATATTTACGATGAACGGTATCAAAATGCTATCAGAAAGAATTTTACAAGAATTCTAATGGACTTCTTCTTCAAGAAAGATTTATTTTTTATGGAAAAAATTCTTATCGTCTGAGCCTTTTCTTCTTAAAATTTAACCTCTTTAAAATTTGTATTCTCCTTAGCATTCCCTTTTCAACACATCTTCCCCTAGAAAAATCTACAACAACAACTTAAAATATTTCTTCTTATCTTTTTGTTTTTCTTCTTCTAGCAAGAAAAATATTTTACATGACACTTGAACTCTGTGGTTCGAACAAAAAACATCTATTCATACATGTCCTCCCATCAGAATATCCAACATGTCTCAGCTATTGTTTCAAAACTTCTATTCTACCTCTATTGAAAGATGAACACAACCGGAAACTATGAATAGGGGGAGTCTCAGTCTAAGAAAATTAGAAATTGTTCAGATATTGAAATTATTCAACACAATGTTTACAATGTGTTATAGTTTTCTTTTCAGTAGCAGAAAAAGAAAAAAAAACAATTTTGAAAAGAATATTTGAAAAGGGGCGACTATATAGAAGACAGAAAATAATATATGGGGGACAAAAGATCGCAGTAGCTGTAATCAAGAAACTATTGAAAAAATATGTATGAAAACAGGAAGAAGTAGGGAGGGGATAAGAGGAGGCAGAGTAATGGAGAATATTGAAATTTAATACAATGGTTGTAATAGACAAACACACACAGACAAATATATGTATGTAGGTATGTTAGTGTGTCGGAGAGACTGGCTAAATACCATTGTCTGGGTATAAAGGAAAATATTCTGTTTTATGGTGGTTCTAGGGGTTTTGAAGGGATAGAAAAATGTAAATGAAGTTTGGGGTAGGGTTTTGAGTGGTTGAGGTGATAATCCAGATATATTGATATTAAAGACCTCAAGATTTTCTTTATAAAAAAATAACAAATGATAAATTTATTTCTTTCGTTACACCCTTATATACAATTTTTTTTATTTTTTCATGTTTTTTTTTTTTTTTTTTTGGATTTGATAATTATCTTGCTTTATCAACTTACATTTGACATCCAGATATACTTCATTACTCGACACGCTGCCTTGGATATTTGTGGCCCGACAAAAATATTGTCCATGGGATGATTTCGAAATGGCTTGGAGGACCAGAGTTTGATTGGAGATGATTATACCACGGGAGGAGTGTAGTTGCTTATCCTGAAAACAAAGAAGAAAAAATGAGATAAATTACAAAAATAGTAATTACAAATGAATTTAAGAAATATACTTAAAAACTAATCCACGCCTCATATAGGCCATGGAAAAACAAATATTTTATAAATCCACGCCTCATATAGGCCTTGGAAAAATTATTTTATAAATCCACGCCTTATATGTGCCTTGGAAAAAATTATTTTATAAATCCACGCCTTATATGGGTCTTGGGAAAAATATTTCATAAATCCACGCCACATATAGGCCGAGGAAATTTTTTTTTAATCCACGCCTCATATGGGCCTTATATAGAGCTTGGAAAAAATTATTTTATAAATCCACGCCTTATATGGGTCTTGGGAAAAATATTTCATAAATCCACGCCACATATAGGCCGAGGAAATTTTTTTTTAATCCACGCCTCATATGGGCCTTATATAGAGCTTGGAAAAAAATAATTTTATAAATCCACGCCTCATATAGGCCTTGTGAAAAATATTTCATAAATCCACGCCACATATAGGCCGTGGAAATTTATTTTTTTAATCCACGCCTCATATGGGCCTTATATAGAGCCTGGAAAAAAATTATTTTATATATCCACGCCTCATATGGGCCTCATATAGAGCTTGGAAAAAATTTATTTTATAAATCCAGGCCTCATATGGGCCTCATATAGAGCTTGGAAAAAAATTTATTTTATAAATCCACGCCTCATATGGGCCTCATATAGAGCTTGGAAAAAAATTATTTTATAAATCCACGCCTCAGTTGGCCCTTGAAAAATATTATTTTATAAATCCACGCCTCATACAGAGCTCGGAATTTTTTTTTATTATTTTATAAATCCACGCCTCATATGGGCCTCATATAGAGCTTGGAAAAAAATTATTTTATAAATCCACGCCTCATATAGGCCTTGGAAAAAATTATTTTATAAATCCACGCCTCATATAGGCCTTGGAAAAAAATTATTTTATAAATCCACGCCTCATATAGGCCTTGGAAAAAATTGTTATAGGCCTCACACAACATTTATATTGTAATTTTTTTTATTGCATATCTATAGGCTTTCCGAAAAAAAAATATTTAAATTGTATCATAAATTTGATTTACTTCTATTTATTTATTTAAATTTACGTTACACGAGAATATCATTATTATCAATGAATACTCTCTCTCTCTCTGTACTTTTGAAATGGAAATGATGCAAAACATCGTCATTGATTTAACCCCTTTGCTTATATACCAATATCTGAGTACATATACATACATAAATACTTTGTTAGTGTCTTGTCAGCGAAAAAATAATAATAGCAGCAACTAAGCTCTTTTGTTTTATTGTTATTACTTGATATGTTTGTGTGTGTGTGAGTGTAACCAGGAGAGACAACTCAAGCCTTCTTTTCTACATATTTTAAGGTTTTACATTTAATTGCTGGCACGGAGACACACACATAGAGAGGAAGACATACACCGTATGACATAACAGACATAAGCCACTTTGAACCAGTGATACGACTAGAAAATATAATGACAAGAACAACAACCACAAGAACAGTACACCATGTAATCATAGTCATGGTTAAGTACAATTTTTTGCCAGGGAAGAGCAAACCTGGGGCACATCGCGAAATTTTTGAATATAGAACTTTTTTTAAATAAAATGTTTGTTCCGTTTCCGAACATACGAGAAATCTTCAATATATCGAAATCATTTCTTGTCAATCGGATAAACATTAGGAGTTGGGTGCACCATTTACCTCAAATCGGACGAAAACATATAAGGGAGCTATATCTAAATCTGAACCGATTTACACGAAACTTTGCACACATCATTCTAGACCTATTTCAGTAGGCTATACCAAATTTCGTGCAAATCGAGAGATATATAGGGTCTTTGGTGCACCACTTACCTTAAATCGGACGAAAATATATATGGGAGCTATATCTAAATCTGAACCGATTTTCAGGAAACTTAACACATGTCGTTCTAGACTTAATTCAGTACGTGTTGCCAAATTTCGTGCATATCGAAAGATATATAGGGACTGTGGTGCACCATTTACCAAAAATCGGACGAAAATATATATGGGAGCTATATCTAAATCTGAACCGATTTTTATGAAATTTAACACACATCATTCTACACATAATTCAGTATGCTGTGCCAAATTTCGTGCAAATCGAAAGATAGGTATGGACTTTGTTGCATCATATACCTTAAATCGGACGAAAAAATATATGGGAGCTATACGTAAATCTGAACCGATTTTACCGAAACTTAACACACATCATTCTTCACTTAATACAGTATGCTGTGCCAAATTTCGTGCATATCGAAAGATATTTAGGGACTTTGTTGCAGCATTTACCTTAAATCGGACGAAAATATATATGGGAGCTTTATATAAATCTGAACCGATTTTTACGAAATTTAACACACATTATTCTACACTTAATTCAGTATGCTGTGCCAAATTTCGTGCAAATCGAAAGATATATATGGACTTTGGTGCATTATTTACCTTTAATCGGACAAAAATATATATGTGGGAGCTATATCTTAATCTGATCCAATTTTTCTTAATTTCAATAGAGTTCGCTCTTGGGCCAAATAAATGAGTGTGGTCAGGGGTATAACTACCATTGCATAGTTTTGCCCACCTCTGCCCATTATTATACGCAGCATTGAACTAAACCCTATTTTCTAGTCTATGAAGTTCACTTGTTAGATGTTGTTGTTATTGTATTTTTTAATTTTTTTTCTTCCTCTCAGCCTTCTAAGTATCAACATAGCAATCGTTATTTTTGTTGTTATTTTTTCATTCTGTTGCAAAACAATCATCCTTGATAGGAACCCCCCAAAGGCTTTTACATACACGAACACACACACAGTAGGAGTAGCAGCAGCAAAGAGGATGATGGCATGTTTTTGAGCTACAAATGTCATTGCATATTTATCGTCTGTAAAACACACAAAGACATACACGGAACCACATATACACACACTGCAATTTGAAGTGGTAGCTAAATAAGAAAAAAAAACACATCAACATCAACTACAATTTCATGGAATGGAAAGACAACTTCTATTTTTTTCCTAAGCAATACAATGTCGTTACGCATCACAATGCGACAGAGGCAGCTAAAAACAGCAACAACGACAATTTTTCGAATTTTTTCTTCCACTCATCTACCCTCTCTCCCTTTCTCCTGCATTCTATGTTGTCTTTTTTGTTGTGTAAAAAAAGCCGTCTACTAAGCTTTATGGTTAAATTGTTTAGAAGTGTTTACGACATATTCATGCCAATATATGCATATGTCATAGACACTCACACAGCCACATAAACACACACACATATCACTTTATTGGTAATGGTATTTGCAAAGCATAGAAACCCATTTAAAATGAAATTTTTGTATTCGTTTGCTATTTAGCCATGTTGAAGAGAGGACGAGGAACCACTACGAAGAAAGTAAGGCCAACATCATCATCGTCGACAGACGGACAGACGTCTAGTCAATTTCGTTGGTGAAGGCCTATATTGGTAGTAAATACCAACAACCATTCATCATACTTTAAAATGTTAACTCAGACACATACACATATACACACATACACCCATATGCTATAACTCTTCTTTTTTTAAACTGTTTGTAAAGCATTCTCGTCCAAGTACCACGGGTTCGGGAACGGGGTCTATCAGTGCGAAAATGGCAAAATCAGTTATTTGCCAAACAAGTGTAGTGATCCGCTTAAGCCTACAATAACAACAACACTAACATGCTTATCGAGCTGATATGGCGGTTGTTGTTGTTGTTCATCTTCATGTTGCATGAAGCTGAAGCATTGACAATAAATTGTGCAGAAGTAATCGTTGCATAAAAACCAATTCAAGCAAAACTAAACGGAAACTAGAGAGAATATCGTGAGTCGTAAAACAAAACGTTTTTAAACTCAATTTTTCCATCATTTCAAACGCTCAACAATGCTAATCAGCTGATAGTGAATGTGCTATGCAGGATTTTGCAGTAATAACATTAAAAATTAATAGACATAAATACATTTCGAAAATATTGCTCTGAACAACACAATCGCTTCTTTTAGAAATGGAGTTATCACTTTAAAGCTTTTTAAACGTTTAGATAAGCTTTGAGAATAAAATTTAATGAAGCTTTAGTTATGGCAGGATTAATGAGCATACATCTATCGATAACGGATTTGTTTTGCAATAATTTGAGTTATAGAGAAGCCTGAAAGTATGCAGTAGATTTAACACAACTATTTTGAGGTGGAACACAAGAGTTATCGGAAATTTTGTGGTGTTATCGAACAATTTTTTTTTTTTAACAGAAAATATTATTGCATGGTAATTTGTGCTAAGGAGTACTTTTTATTGGCAAAATGTTCTAACGATTAATGATTAATGAGCATACATCTATCGATAACGGATTTGTTTTGCAATACTGTGAGTTATAGAGAAGCCTGAAAGTATGCAGTAGATTTAACACAATTCTTTTGATGTGGAATACAACAGTTATCGGAATCGAATTTTTTTTTTTTAACAGAATATATTATTGTAGTGTAATTCGTGCTAAGGAGCAATTTTTATTGGCAAAATGTTCTAACTATAGTATTGTTATCGAAATCTATATAATAATTGGCAACAAATATTGTTACGGGAATTAAAAGAATGAACACTATGGAAAATCATCATTTTTTACCAATAATGATGTTATCGACGAACTTTTTTTTCCTGAAAATGATGTTATCGGCCAACATTTTTATGCTGTTGTTTACGATAATATTTTCTATATTATTATCGATGATGTTCTTTATGGGAAATGTTGTTATCGATGAAGTTTCCTAAACAAAATGTTGTTATCGATTTATTTTTCTACAGAAAATATTGCTATCAATCAAATTTTCTATAGAGAGTATTGTCATAGCAAATACATTCGATAATATTTTCTAATAAAAAAAATGTTATCGATTAAATTTTCTAAAGAAAATATTGTTATCGATGACTTTTTCTATAGAAAAAAATATTATTGATGATATTTTTTATGGAAAGTGTGTTTATCGATGTTGCTTATGGAAAATGTTGTTATCGATGACATTCTCTAACGAAAATATTGTTTTCGTTGATAATTTCTATTAAAAATATTGTTATCGATGACATTTTCTAAAGTAAATATTGTTATCGATAAAATTTTCTATACTGTTATTGATGATATTCTTTATGTGAAATGTTTTTATCGATAACATTTCCTAAAGAAAATGTTGTTATCGATCAAATTTTCAAATATAAATATTGTCATCGATAACATTTTCTGTAGTAGATATTGTTATCGATGACATTGTCTATAGAAAGTATTGTTATCGATGGTATTTTTTACGTAAAGTGTTGTTATCGATGACATTCTCTATAGAAAATGTTGTTGTCTATGATATTTTCTATAGAAAATGTTGTTTTCGATGAAATTTTCTAGAGAAAAGTTTGTTATCGACAATATTTTCTATAAAAAATGTTGTTATCGATGAAATTTCCCAAAGGAAGTATTGTTATCGATGACATACTATATAGAAAATATCGTTATCGAGGAAATTTTTATGGAAAGTTATCGATGCTATTGATGATTATCTCTATAGAATATGTTGTTATCGATGACATTTTTATTGAAAATATTGTTATCGACGATTCATATTCCATTCAACATTGTTATAAAAAATATTATTATCAATCAAAGTTTTTAATAGAGAGTTGTTGTCGATAACTTTTTCTTTGACACATATTGTTAATGAACCAATTATCTCTTGTTATGGAACCTATTTTCCTTTAGAAATAATATTAGTGACAGAAAATATTATTCTCAAAAAAGGTTTTAAGTGAACATCTCTTCTCCATAAAAAATGTCATCAGCATGACCTTTTGTTATCGCCCGCC